ATAAAGTAATTTTGCATGACATAAGAAGACAGTAGCGATTCAGTGAAACACTCTCTAAATACGGTGTGTGGAACAATATAAGTTTGATACAGATATAAGTGTGCTTCGTAGATTCAAGAGTTCGTCTTACAATCTTGTAATTGATGTGTGTGAAGGAAGTGAATGGGAAAATGATTTAATTTAGTGGCGGGAAAAATTCTTAATTGTCCCTGAATAATTGGCGATAGAACAGAACGAGATGTTGATGATTCTGTAAGTGAGATTATACATTACAGAAAAGTATGTATGCAATTGGTGTGTTTAATGCCAGCGTCCATAAAAAATGTTGGTAAGTCATACTCTACCGAGATCTATATTTCACTGGCGGACGTATACATTATGTCTATGCCCAATTATGCGGAGATGATGATACCGCCCTCTGTGTCAGAAATGTAACTTTAAAAAGTCGCCAATAGATGGCGCCACTCACATTGTCGGAGAAACAGAAGATGCGCCAATAGGACGTCTGAATTGTAGGGGTTTGTCAGTCGACAAAAATCGTCTCTTGACATCTTGCACAATTCTTTGCCATCCATCGTAAACTGGTGAGTATCAACGTCGTGAAGATTGTACTCCTTTACGGCCCAATCCAACCATTGTATCACGTGGTCGTGGTTCCACATGTTGGGATCTAATGTGAGAAAATGCAAACGAATAGGTCAAGTCGTTGCCATGGTATTAATAATGCAATGAGCCAATATATATATACGCACAATGTTAAACCATAGACCCTCTATGGTTAAACTATGCATTTTTAAATTCTCATTTAATATCAGAGATAAGGATGTTTGAACTGTTGGTAGTCTGTTCACAGTTCTTCGCACATACTAGTACGTGTACTTCATTTCGCATGGTGCGCCCTCTGTCGGCAAAGCTATATTGTCCATTTAACGAATAGCAGCTTCGGTATACAAAGGCAATCTTGCAGGGGCGGATACAGTTTTTTTATGGGGGGTCCAAACTTTAAAATCGACAGACTAAGTTAAAGATTTTGTTATATTATACAAAAACAAATTGAATATTTTTTTCAACGGGGGGTCCGGACCCCAAGAACCCACCCCCTAGATCCGCCACTGTCTTTTTAATGTGACATGTGTAGAATTAACAAAGTTACTCATATCCACCGTCTGATATCGAGTTTAGTTTCGGAAGTTACAGTCACCGTGTAACCATAGTCCCCGTCGTATCTATATACCCGACTTCCAAAGATAGGGAACTTAAACTCCGGACGGGTCAAGAAAAGGTGCTAGACATGGGATGAAAGCGAATGGGTTAAGACAATTTTAGATTTGGTGGGATATGGTGCGAGGGGTGGGATAGGGTTCGAATGGGATGGATAGGCTGGAAAGAGACAGGATGTGCTGGAAGAAACGTGCATGGATTGCATAGAAAAACAGATAGGATCGAATGAGATGAGATGATACTCGATAATTTATGAAATGGGTAAATTATTACTGCTGATTATATGGTAAAGAATATTGATACAAAATACTATTATTATCAGGCACATGTCAGTTTACCTGTAATCGTAAGAAAGTAAGAAAAGCAGACAGTAACTATAAAAGTAATAGGCCAAATGTAGGGAAAGCATTAACTACAATGAAATGCACCAGCGTCTGACCAACCCGCCCTTCAGTCAGGCTAATTATGAGTCCCAGCGTGGTAGGCGGTGTGTGTTTGACGATATTATTATTTATCGTTATCAGCGACCAACCGAAATCTATAAATAGTTCTTTCTTATCAACGGAAGACAGCTTAGGAACGAAAATAAAAATAAACTTTCAATAGTGATTCTGAGTTCCTGCTATTATTATACCACGTTTCCTCGATATTGTCCTCGGAAAACCTGAGGGAAAGAATTAGGATATCCCTATGTTTCCTATGATTTGAAGCTGGAAGTACTCAAGCAAGTGGAAAACGGGCGCGAATCCCTCCATCACACGCGACGCGATATTAGATCACAGAATCAGAATTGGGTTAAATCGTTGTAGTCGCCACGTGGCGCGTTTAAATCTGTGTAAACAAACACTCTACTGTATTTTACACACATGGGACATGGGACCCACGTTGAACACGGTGCGGTGTGGAGGCTGTGGCACTTTAATGTATATTTCAGCCCACCCGACATCAGAGAGTCACGTGGTTGTAATTTGTATGATAGATGCTCTCAGCAGCTTTATTGCACGTTGAAAAAAACAGCACATCTCACACCCACAATAGATCCATTCATAGTTGTCTAATAAATACAAATATCAGTTTTCGACTTTTCTCGTAAATACGGGATTGTTCAAATTCAATTCGGGAGGTAACTTTAAAAGTTTGCGAAATCTTCGTCAGTAATGTGTATCGCTATTAGTGGAAACGATGCGAGTATGATCCACACAAAATACGCCCCTTCCTTTATTTTCAATTTCCTTACAAAATTATAGCTATCGAAAATGGATATTTTAAAGTTTTTGAAAATTATACGTCCTGGACGCGGTTAATTCATTGTCTCAATTAATTCGTTTTTTAATCTCGTACAGTCATCTGTCAAAAATCGTATTTCCGGCAGATTTGGCTGTCACGAGATCGCTTCAAAATGAAAAGAACATCGGAAGTCACAGGAAGTCCGTTACATCTCAAAACCGTCAAAGCTGACACGACGTTAGTTAAACAAAGACATGTACATTTCATCATGAACAACGTCAGCGAATATGGGACATTTCCATAGAGACACTTTTGCTAGGAGCAAGCTGCCTGCTCGGCCTTGGTGGCCATCTTGTGTTTGCTCCTTATTTCCCCGATGACAGAAATCTGAAGTAGTTCAGTTTAAAAATTTGGGTGAATTACAAAACACTGCATCTGTTCCATCGCATATCAAATCGCATATTTCAATTGTATTTTGTTTCAACGACTGTTGGTCGTTACGTTCGCTATTTGAGCAGCGAAATCCACATCAAGGGAGGAGAGACGTTATCGACAAATAACATTGTTGAGCAATCGTTGATGATAGAATCGGTTTAGTGTACTCTTGGCGAAACAATCTTCTTAAATATTTATGAATTCCAATGGAGTTGAATCAAATCCGCCAATCAACGAGCACATTGCGCAACGACGTCATTTGAAAGTGTCACAATATTATTCAATCGGCCAATAGAAACCTTTCGTTTTAGTTCGAATTGGGAAAGTTATAAAAATTGAATATTTATAAAGATGAGGGACATTCAGCTAACTGGTGAATTATCATAATATTTCTTTTGAATTTATAGGTTTAATGGTAATACCTTGGTTCCTATGCGTTTGTATATCGCGTTAGAGCAGGGTACACCATACAATGTGAGTTGGCGAGACAGTACGGAACATTCCCAGACCAGACTGTTAGACTGAGAACAGTGATGAAAACAATTAGAAATCTGCTGAATAGTATTGTCCATCTTTATAGTACAAACATTGCGTGCAAAAGCACATGGTTAACTTTAAACAACGACCTTGTTATAACATGTGACTTGAGTCCCTCGGACACGTGACGTCCTCGCCCGCGACTTGGGCTAACAGGAACAGAATAAGATTATTTTATTATATTTGATAAATTTATTTATTTCACCATCGTTGAAACAAATAATACTATACAAAGAAGTATACTTAATATAAACATGGTGAGGACCAATTCGATAATTCAACTTATCTAGTCAAGTCTGTAGTTCCAGTGAAGAAACATAGTGGCAAATTGGATGATATGAAAAGCAAAAGGCAAAATAATAATAATAATAATAATAATAATAATAATAATAATAATAATAATAATAATAATAATAATAATAATAATAATAATAATAAGGGGAATGGATAAATCAATATCTTCAATCGTATGAGCAAAATTATCATTTTATGTATGGGCTCAGATCTTAGCATGTTCCGTGCCTAAGTCATGCCGAGTGTTCATTATGGACCTACTAAACAACACGCATTGTAAATACAATGTTTGTTCACAGGAAATCGGCTGTGACACAATGACTGTCGAGTTTCAGGTTGTTATTTTCTTGTGAATCCAGGGTTGCATGTTCTATCAAGTACACTAGCAAATACACTTATGCTAAGCAATGCTGGAGATATGGGTTTTTAAGGAAAAAAAATAGATGACTTGCGACACTAACGAAAAGGTAGACATAGAGCCGCATATCCTAATTGACTGACGCGTCGTTGAGGCAACAGAAAATTGTACATTGATATGTTTTCATGTACATAGTGATCTTAAAATATCTAACTAGTTGAAAATTTGATTTAGGGGTCCAGTTTGACTCGGAGTGTCCTAGAAAATCGGTCCAGTTAGAGCGAACACTGCCAGACTCGTTAGTTGGAGACAAGACACATATGTCATTTAACGTCTAACAACCTCTAATCATTTGTGAGGCATTTAATGCCGTGCTCATCATTTTTAATTCGCAATTATCTAATTAAATAAATAAACATCGACAGTTTTCATGAATTATTTTTCATAAATGTATTTCCTTAAAAATGTTTCATGTTGATATCATATTTATCTTTAACAAAAAGGGTTGTTTTGTTCACGAAAAAATAATTAATTATAAATTATAACACATGGGCATATGCTAGCTTTATGTAGCAGATACTAAATTGTGTGTGCTGCAAGTCAACCATAAAGCCCAGTACGGACTTACAGTGTCGAACTAACACTGAGTATGTCATGCTCGCCATAGTTTTTAAAAGTAATACAACGAGTAATTATTATTTGTCCGGTTTCCGAGTCGAGGCGACCACAAACAATTAACACTTGCAGTGGACAACACGGTCTTATTGTTGGGATCCAGTCACTCTGTAAATGCTCTTGATTCCTATATACTAGTATTTCTTTCTTATTAATTATTGACCGAAACAAGATTTGTCAACGTTTTTATGTTTACTCGGAGTGAGTGGTGATTGTTTATATTGGTAACATGATTAAGGCATGCACACGCATCCTTGTAAGCTTAGGTCAAAACTCGGTACTCATACACTATTATGAGTTTGCTGCGCTGAGTCACTCAATACAACGACACCACGAGATATACCCGTCTTGTTCGGCGTATTCGTACCTTTTCCCGACACCAGAGTGACTTAGTAGTAGCGGTTTAGGTGCGCCTTAAACACAAGCCGCCGACTGTTTTACAGCGTACGCGTAGTTTAAACCAATAAGTTAGTTCGGGTGTACGATGCAGTTAGTAAGTAGCCCAGTGGACAGAAAAAGTAAAACTATCTTAAAATAACCTTGCGAATTGAGGAAATGTATACCGATTTATCTGGGGACATGTAACAGTGATTATTGGTGTAATTGAGCGCATGGCACATATAACTGTCAGCAGAACACACAAAGGTGGCTTTGTCTGCCGCTATTCAATTAATTACTAACTGATCAATGTAGTGTGTGTTTCAATTTCTAATGTTGTTCATCAGCCAATGATGTAAACAACGCCTGTAGTTTAAATCCCGTCGCGTGCCACGGCATGTGTTACAATCAAACAAACATGCAAAACTCTTCCTGTTCATATTAAAAACAATTTCTTAGGCATACTTAGGATTTGGACATATTTTTTTTAAATATCTGCTAAAAAAAGAACGATACATTTGAAAATTTAGAGACATGAATTGCGGACCGTCAGGTTTGCGCTCTTCTCCGTTATGGTTGAATTTTAATAATGTTCACCTGTTTTTGCAGTTTGTTACCATAATGTTCAGGGTATTGGTAACATGCAGTGATTTGTCGAGTGCGGCACCATCGTCAGTAACAATGTTAAACTCATTTAAATTCCTGTAACTTACTTTCGTTACTCAGATCCCCTAAATCAGGCACGCGATTTGCCAATAAGACACTTTTAAACGAAAGCGAAAGCTAGATCTACGAAAGTAGAGAACTCGGTGTATTTTCAGTACACGTGTGTCGGCTCTTCGTGGGAGTGTGCGCTGACCGATTAGAAGGCGAGTACACTCCACGCGCCGGCGACATAGTGGTGGTATTGTCCTTGTTCTTAAACCGAAACAGTTAATGTTGCCAGCGAGATTTGAAACCACTTTGAAAAGCGAAATTCCCACGAAAATAAAGAAACCGCGACGAGGTGAAAACTAAGCGAAATTGGATTTAATTAGTGAATCTATCTGGAAGCGAGGACACGCAGAACAAGAGAGGCGTGTTTCCAGACGTCGGCTGTGTTACAACAAATGGTACAATTGCCCGTGCCCTTCCGAGCAACATTGCCTTACTGTGTACTATTCGGTTTAATTTTAATTTTAATAAAATCAAGTAATATGTTTTTATCAAAAACATTATTCGCTAATTGCGGTAACATTTTGCATTGCAAACTGTGATGCGAAATAAATCATTGCCCTGTTGAAGTATTAGTAATTAAAAAATATTCAAATGAGTTTAGATTGTGAGCGGATCGTGCAAGGGCATATATTGGACAACAGTCTGAAAATGTAATTTTTTTTCACATCTAGCAGTTTGCGGACTGTGGTACTTCGTCGACGTATGCCTTGACTCAGTATTCGTTGATTTAGCCGCAGCACGGCAAATACTGACTCTTAAATTGTATAAATGATGCATCAACTTTATTCCGCTACTACGAAACCTTTGCGGACTGTGAGAAAGCGAAAAAGTATCAGCGGACGTATACCAGAGAAGATGAGCGTAAAATCATAACTGACCTGCTGGCACGATAACCCTTCTTTCATGTGTTGTCATGTTGGGTGGTGGCGGCGATGGTGGTCGCTGTTCACGATGTTCAGAGTACGCTGGGCAGGCAAACTCGCTTCCCACTGTCCCAAGACCTGAGTTTGAAATCATAGAACGCTGACGTTTGACGACGCTACAATCAAGAGGTGACTCCCCCGTAGCAGTACTCGAAGAAACTGTGTCCATCTCTCGCTTCATCCTGCTCCCAATGATGGTCCAATGTTGTTCTGGTTGATGGTGACTGGGGGCTTTCAGTTTAGTGACCGAACCGCAACTGTGTGGGAGATGACTGGAGGGTGAGATAGCCACGTTACGAGGAGGGCTGTGTTGGTACTGCGTATCAAACAAAGACTGGTCGTCTGAAACCACTGACAAAGCTTCCTGAAATATACACAGACACATTAAAAACACGCCTGTATGAGCCGGGAAACAAAACGTTATGACTTAGTGTGATGAAGCGAACATAGAATAATAATACGCACACTTTCTTAGAGTCTTGGTGCTAACTTTCTTTTACAAGTCAATGAATTTGTTTTTCGTACATGTATTTAATTCATAAACAAAGATCGCCGACCTCTTTGCTAAAATGATCGCACGTCAGTATGCGCAAAACATTGGGATTACTGAAGTGATTATTTTTAAGTATGGATGTTTCGATATTTTGCAATTACAAATGCAATTTGTTGTTTGTTGATTGTGTCGGCATATAACCACCATAATTAAAGTATTACTATAAACGGGGGAAAAAGTGTCATCACTCACTACTGGACAACCGGAACGGCGTCCAATAAATGAACGACTCGCGTTGCCCATTCGAATTTGACTACGATGTATTTGATTCAGTTCGACGTATAATACTGTTAAACAAAAACAACTGGATTCATACAATTTACCCTCATTTCTTTTAATTCATATATTTATATATTTTGTTGATCTCGTAGTATGTGTACTTACATTGCGGGCAGAAATTTGGATGGACGGAACACTATGATGTGACATTCGTCTAAGAAAAGAGCGTGATTTACATGAAGAATTTGAAGAATTCGCAAACTCATCTTTTTGGATTTTTCACAGTTAGATGTAACTTGAAAATAATCATTCATTATGTCGCCACTCAGTTTGTATGTTTCTGTCAATTGTTTGAGGCTGATCAATTAAAATTAAGGGGTATATATCCGTAGAAAAAACATTTGAGATGTACTGACAGGACAGATTGTTGATATACTTTGCAGAATACGAACGAATCGTAGAAATAAACGGTAAGCTGAGTGAATGAGTGGCAGATGAACTTAATTTTTCCTAAAAATCGGCACTACAGTCGCTTGACTCGCAAAAGAAACGTAAAACATGATAGATATGGACCGATGCGTGCACCAAATTGATCAAGGAAATGCTGTACAACTCTACGGGAAGTGACAAGGAAATGATTTCAACGGGACGTTGTTCTGTTTTCAGGCTCTTACATCGACATACAGAGGTAAAAGTAAAAGGAAACAGAGAGTTGAGATTTTATGTGTTTTGATTTTCTGCCTTACTATCGAACGGATGTTTCCTACACTTATTTTTGCCGGTGATCAGGGAGCGTCCCACCTGTAAACTACATACGTGAAATGAAGGCACATTTCCCCCATGGGTAGCGTCACATTGAAATAGCTGTGTCCCATGGCAGCAGGTGATTACTTAAACGCGGTTAATGATATAATGTCGAGTTTGTTTTGTTTTCAGAAATTGGAATGTTGCACTTACGTGATACCGCACTGAAGACATCGCGGATATCGGAACAAACTTGTCGGTTGAAAACGGACGCTGATTATGACAAAATGATCGCTTTCCCCTTCCTCCGTTCTGCCGTGTTTTTGTGAGATATCCTTCTTTCAAAATACTATCTTGAAAAATCACTGTTAGTTTTTCTGCGATGCTTTGATTGGTGACCACTAAGGCATACCTAGTCACTACCGGTCCTTTATAGCCCACACTTGCAAGGACCCCACAACTGACCAATCAGCTACTTTTTATAGGGGTGGTAGCTACTAATGCGGAGGGGATATTCCACTTCCTCAGCTAACGTTATAATATATATCCCATTGTTTTTCAGCGACTAACTATAATAGGTAGATTTTGGAGTACACTTACTATAAACTAACTTTCCCTTTCTTATCCATCCCATTTACATACCAACCTCCCCCTCGTCACAAATTGTACGTTCCGTCAAGAATATTGAATTTTCAAAACAAGTTAATATAGCAGATATGAATTATTCATGAACCCGTCGCTGCACTGTACTTAAACAAGCTCAGAGAATAGGTAAGGCATGTGGTTTCGGCGAACCGTAACAGAAATTAATGAAACTACAAGCAACACTCAAATAAATCAGCCTGCGAGCCACGAATCAAGCCCTGCATTAATTATTCACTTCTTCCGGTTTTTTAATATTGCTTTGAAGTGAACGATCATCTTTAGCTGGGCGTTATCATCATTGTAAAAACTATTGAATCACAGAGAGCATTAAAGTTACATCGAGACTGGATTACCCACTCGTCCGTCCACAACTAATGAATAGCGCTTCGAAAAATGATAACGTTCCGACTTGCATTCGCCCGCCCGGGAATATAGCGTCGAAGGGGAGGGAATCGAAGCAGATATGTCTACGTGAACATCGGAGGGGGGGGCTATACTTGAAAGGAGACATTTTGCGGGGATATCCCCTTAAACATCGAAGGAGAAGTTTAAAGCAGACATTTGCCGGGGATATTCCCGTAATATTGAAGGGGGGACTCAACTTGAAAGCAGAAATTCTCCGGAGGATATCCCCGTAAACATCAAAGGGAAGGGTACTCGAGCAGACTTTCGTCGAAGATATCCCTGTAAACATCGGAGTGGATGGGACCCAAAGCATACATTCGCCGGGGATATCCCCGTAACATCGAAGAGAGTCAAATCACACGTTATTTGTTAAAAATCAACAAGCATTGCTCAATTTTATTTTATCGTGGTATACCACTTAGACTACCTAAAAGTTGTAGGACATTCAAAATAATAATTTATCCGTATTTCAAAAAAAATTAAATAAATAAATTATAAAAAAAGTTATGTGTATTATTCACTGACGTGGCAAACGCACACTCTTTGGCGGATTTCATTCTCTTTTTATTAGTCAGTTTGTATAGTTTTCTCGTCTAAATTGATTTACTCAAATTCGACAGCAGCACGAATCTGATATTTTGTAGCTTTTGGAAAGTGATCGCAAACGTTGATGAAAGACGTTATATCCGTCTCAAAATTAAAATTTGTTGATTCTCACCTCTGCGAATATGTCTTACAAAACTGTACACTGCTACACAAAGACATACAAGTAAATTTCTTTACTTTTTTAATGGTATTTAAAAAAGGCTAATACTGAAAGCGCGTGAGAACAAAGCCATCACCATAAACGTTGAGAGGAGGCCGTCCATACGTCAGCGGAGAACACAATAGCAGTGACAGTGGCGCCTGGCTTGTGTCGCGTTGTATTGGAACTCAGGCACCGTAGAAATGCTGTGTTGCAGGTGTTTCTACTAACTTAAATGCTTTTTCAACATCATGCATTAATTTATGTTTTAACGTCATATAAAGCGCATGGGTTTATTGAAACGGCCAGGCCTGTCCGCGTTCGAATTGAACACTCCCACGGCTCCGTTTTAAAAACGGCTCGGATACATTTAATTGAATATGGCCGTTCGACAATATATATCGCAAATATTCTCGCGACGTTTTTGTTTGATTGCAATGATTTGATTGTTGTCCGGGAGTTATGATTGCCGCCATGCACTATTGAAATCACCGATAGGATTGGAGGACACATCCGAGTGATTTCCCGCCAAGCCGACTGTCTCTTAAACTCAACTCTCTTTTCAATTGGGCGGTTATTATGTTCCATTTCACCTGTCCGTTTTATCCAAATCAATGCTATTCATTTTATGCGATTTTGATTGTTGAATCGACGCAAATTAATAACGATTAAAACATACTAAAGTACTTTTCTATTTGCACGCTTACGTGAAGTCATCTAGTATGCATGCAAGCTGTATATCTAGCTTTCATAGTTGAATTTCGTTCAGAGAACATTACCCGTTTCAACAATTCACATGGGTTTTATTTATATGACACGTTCATCTGTTACAATATTAAGTGAATTTATTTATATGAATGCCGCAACTGGTCGGTCAATTTACGGACATTTCATCATACTGTTACTTCCCGGCGTTCGATTGATTGATTGATTGATTGATTGATTGATTGATTGATTGATTGATTGATTGATTGATTGATTGATTGATTGATTGATTTCAAAATGCAAATAATGCAGAATTGGGATTTAGGACGGACTCACATTTCCACCAATGAACCATAATTTTCGCCTTATTTCGTTTTAATTAGTTGATAGAAAGATATTATACAGTATCTATCTCAATTGGAAATATCGTAATATATGTCATAAGTCGAGTACGGCATATGTAGCCATGTTGTAGCCGTATTCAAGTTAGGACATTTGAAATAAAGCCGTGTTCCCAATTACAAGATACTACAGGACTGAGTAGTTGTTACAGCCATTAATCGTATATTTGTATGAAATACGGTTAATTATACATTCAACTATCTATACAATGCTAAAACTATAGGCAAGAAACAATTTCTTGTATGTCCCATAATTCATCGCGGCGATATATTATGTGGTATATTTCACGTCAATAAAACCATTCTCGTGCTTCCTGTCAGCTATGATTTGTCTAATTTACTAAGTTTTATGGGACGAATCGACTGAGAAAACATGAAATTTAATTTCAGCAAACGATGGAATCGTTTCCGTTCTTTCCAGTTGTCTTCCATTTTTAAAATAGTAGTCTGTCTCATACAAGGCCGCCGCGCAAGAGCTAGTGAGTGTCCCAGGTGAAGGAATCTAGACGTTACTCGGCTCAAATCGGGTAATTTTTCCCAGCAAAGCTTTTTTGTATTTTTTATTGTTAATTTTGAACCAAGTTGGCTAAATGTTCTAATATATGAAAAAGTACAGTGTAAGATGATAATGCTAATACCACGCTGTTGTCGTAAATGGACTTCTTTGCCATGATGTGTTATACATTGAGTGCAATTTGAATGAATGATAACACTACCTCCCTTCTCTCCACCTCCCCTCCCCTCCCGAGTCACAATAAAGATTTCGAACGGCTTCGTAATTAGTAGTAGTTTCAAATTGAATTGCAAATATGTTATCACGTTATCACGTTATTCAATTCTACCTCATATTAGGGGACATTTCAGCAATACCCTTATGAGAAATACATCTGCCGTTTTCATTGACCGTAGCTTCCTTTGCAGTTTCCGCTAAAAATGCATAGTTGATTCCATGTGAAATTAACAACAAACTCTCAATGAAAGCGACACGATATGTTGAATTTCAATTGAACATATAAAATAAAAACATTCCACGCACATTTTGTTCGTTTCGGTGGTGCAGTCGGAATTGTGTACAACCCCATGACCTATATTGTCATTTTTAGTAATGATGAATTATAACAGCAATACTTCTTAATATTATGCTTCAAAGTTGGTGTATTTTGAATTGAACACACTGGTACGTGCTTTAAATGAGATTACAAATACTTTGTTATTTTGTTGTTAAAATATGTTCACCAACAAATGAGAAATGCGCATAATTAAGAAGAGTTTGCCTCAACGAAGTAGTAAAAAATCGCATCATTCGTGAATTCTAAAAAATGAGCCATATTTTGTTAGGCAATATCATGAGATGTCTATTTAACGACAGTGGTTGCCGTGACGAGTCGTGGTTGATATGTGAGTCCAACGCGACGTACAACATAAATTGGTTATTTACATGAAATTCTGTGATGTAGTTCCATAGAAACAATGAAATTGCGATTTACCCCGTACTGATAAAGTTAGTCAAAATACTTTTTGTACTTAGAAGATTTATACATTAAAAACTTGTCTGGGTACCCCGAGTTATTTATTTTAATGGTCAGTCACTAGGCTAACTTTCCTGTATCCGCGCGCAAACTTCAATATTACAAAGATGTGAAACATTACCGATGGGAGACAACAATATTCCTGGAAACCGTTTTACTAATCTTTTAATGTCTTCTCACTTTTGACAAAAATACGATGACGAGCTGGCCCAACTGAACTACTTAACTGATGTGTACCACGCCCCACACCCATTACATCCACGCTGGGTTATCAACACGTGCAACTGTACTTTTATGATGCATACCCATTTAATATTCGCAAGAACATACACACTATTATTCCATTATTTAATTTTTAATGGCACTGTTAAATTCGTACTAAGCGCGTTGTCATCACCTGCATGCGCATAACCCACAAAGTCTGTATTTATGAAATTGGTCTTATTAAGGTGCATATGTCTAATCCTGAAAACCATTGAAAATAAGAGTATATATTTTATATTTAATATTATTATATTATCTAATTATTTTATTTAAGACGGCCCACAAATCTGTGTTCTGATTTGGATGTAATGACAGTCGCTGTATTCTATTTGTTCATACTTGTATTATCGAAAGAATATTGACGAAAATAAACAATTTAACTTTCATTTATTGCTTACTATATTCATAGCACTGTGGGTTTTTTTATAAACCGACTGAAATTATTCATGTAGCCGTGAATGACAATTGCGCCGACGACATTGACAATGTACAATGTGAAATATTGAATATATAAAAATACTATGACAACTAAGATTTACCAACAATTGTCTTGGCATTGGTGAAATAGTAATAATTCGTGAACAAATAAAAAATAAACGAATATCCGAAAATATGAAATATTAAAAAACTATGTTTTTATTGAGAAATCTGAGATGAGACTGGGGACGGGACAGCTGAAATGTTGAAATATAATTTATACA